GCTGAGTCGAACTTGCTGACGTTTCGCCAATCATCCTGTTGGCTTCTTCAGAGCTTGACTGAAACTGGCTCGTATTTTACTCTGTACCTGCTTATATATTGTTTGAGGGGGGCGGAGTTAAATGAGTGGCATAAACACCGTGACAGGTAGACACCTAAGTCGCGGTTAAATTGTTAGGTTGTTTATAGATTTCTATAGACTCTCGGATTTTTCGTTGGTAGTGCAAGTGCAAGAATTTTAGTTTTATCGGCAACAGCTGATGAGTTTATTTGCCTTAGACGTAAGGTTCTTTCATGTTCTTTGAGCCTAGTTGATATTTTTCGTCCGGTTTCTCCAATGTAGTCCTTGCCGCATATGCATGGAATGCTGTAAACTCCTGGCATCTCAAATGGAATTTTATCTTCGACGGACTGAAGATGTTGAGAGATTTTTGGACAAGTGGTAAATCTGGTTTTGACGTTATACTGCTTTAGAACTTTTTATATGTGGTCAGTGATATTTTGAATGTAAGGAAGGACCACAGTGGCAAGTGTAGGATTGCTTTCGGCCTCATTGGAAGGTGGTGGTGAAGTGTATTTTTTGATCGAACGCTTAATATCTTTAATGTAGAAATTATTAGAGAGAAGAGGAGAGGTAAGGTGTTTTAATTCTTGGTTCAGTGACAGGGGCTGAGATAGTTTTATGGCTCTCGGATAAAAAGTTTTTAATATAACTAAGATGAGAAAAGCGAGGAATATTTATCTTGGAAAATGGTTAATTTTATTCGATTTGGTATTCTTATTAATAAGAGTAAATACATATAATTAGAATTTTCATATGATCCTATGCTAAAAACAAACACCCTGTACATTTTTTTCAACATGAAGGGCATTACATATGTACGCGCCATTTATTGAATTTAATATATATGATATTACGACATCTATACATTAAGAAATGTGGCGTGTGGTATGGATATTCTTAGAAGTTTTATAAGTTTTTTCGCATGCTTAGTCTGAATCTCTCATGTGAGGTTGAACAATCGTTTTCTTCATTCATATTTGAAAGCACTATGCAATTTTTATGGTGGTAACGTTCAAATGAGAGCACTCACTTGTTTTGTATCAAGGGATACATTGCAGATAAGATAAGATAAGATTTTTCTACATTGAAACGCCCTGTAGAAATAATATTCGATACCAATAAATACTGGATATTTGAATCGATTTTGGTCTGACTTAAATCGCTAAACTCCGAGTTAACTAAAAAGGTACATTTTGAAATATTAAATGAAACTCGGTTACATCAAGAGCAAAATTCTATGTCGAATACGGTAACAGATTGTTTTAATTTTCAAAGGGATATAAATTTAGGTTAAATTGGGGTTTCCCTTAATTTAAAGCGAGATTCTAAACTTAATTCGTTCTATTTCCAGGTTAACTTTCGGGAAATGTTTTTATTAAAACACGATTTAAAAGTTTGATCGTGGTAATATAACCGAAAAACTCATTTAATAAGGCGATTCATCAAATTTTTCTTTTCTCTCTTAGGAAGTTTCGTCAAATTCAGATTCACGCTGGAAATTACACATTTGAAAATCTCAAGTGCCTTAGCAAAACCTCTCAAAATCCCGCTTTCATTTTGCTGGTCTATATGCATAATTAGAGTCGTTGAACATGGAGTACCCTAAGGATCCATTATGGGCCCTCTTCTGTTCTATATAAACGATCTCCCTGAGCATCTTACTGACATAGTTTGTACATTGTTCGCTGATGATACTACCTTTTCTTGTCGAAGTTATTCTGAAAACGACTTGGTGCACAGGATGGAGGGGACACAGTCCGGGGCTAGTGAGTGGTTTCGTGCTAACAAATTAACCTCAATGAATCAAAAATACAACAAATTATATTTTCTTTACGCGAGTCAACATCCAACAATCTATGTGAACTGTGTTGGGGTTCTGCTTGATTCGAAATTGACGTTCGAGCAGCATATTATTGCCCTTTGTGAAAAGCTCTCCAGGGTGGTGTACTTGTTGCGCGGTTTGGTCGGCGAGGTCTCTCAATGTATAGTCAGAATGGTATATTTTTCACTCTTCAAATATTAACTGCTCCATGTTATTATATCTATTCGGCATTAAAGTATACTTAAAGCAACCATTATCATCATGCCTTTGATATTAATTTTTGCCACCAGAAACTGAAACGATATGTTGATTAACTACTCAAGAATTGCAAAGACTAGAAATTATAAGAACTATCACGGTCCTAAATTCTTGAATCTATTGCCTCTTACTATTACTCGTTTGATGATTTGATGACTTTTTTACCAATTTTAATAATGGTTAGCGTTTTCTGTGTTATGTCGCGGTGCCTTTGTAATTATACATATATGTAGATTTTGTTCAATGTTTTTGCTGACTTGTGTAAAACCGTAGGGTTGTTAACGTCAATGAATTATTATTATTATTATTAATTAATTCGAGTGTTTTCATCTTGCTCTGTAAACATTAGAGATAAATTTCCTCATTCGTTATGGAGGTTTCGATATTAGTGAGACGGCGTTCATAGTCACATTTATATTTCCCTATACATCTAACTAGGGTCGTTCTGATGATTTCTATGGCTAAAAATTAGTTGAAAAACAAATACCATTACAATTTCTCGCTACTAGTGGCCTTCCAATGATAAAGTAACGAAAACGGATGTCGTTTAAAGTCAATTCGGAAATGAGATTGGAACAACTAAGATCGAAATGATTATTGATTCATTTGATTGAGAGGGTCTATTGCGATTGCCTCCATCTATCTATCTACTTTCTGTTTGTCTGTCCACCTGTTCATCCATCTGGATCCAATACGCTATTTTAGATTGTCCAATCATCTTATTTGAGGTTTTCCTTTAATTATTTTTTTTCCAAGGTCTCCTGTTTGTAATATATTTTTTTTATCTATCGCTTTTTTGGCTGATGTTAAAACCGGCTAACTTCCATTTTGACTTCGTTACCTCCTCTCTAAAGTTTCTTACTTTTATTTTATTTCTTATCAACTTGTTCCATAGTTATCTTTATATAGGCGCTCCCTCTACAGACTTCTGAGGAATTCCTTGGCCTGTACTTTCCTGGCGCCTGTTCCCATGTTTGCCGAGATTTCGGTATGATCAGTTCCCTAGCTGTCTATTAAGCTAACCTAAGAGTTGACTTATAAACTAGATACCAAAATTATATCATTTATATAGGAGAATAACAATAGATTATGTCAAACTTATATATGAATTGCATTGAGGAGGAATAAATAAATACTGATTATATAAAGAATAGGATTGATTTGATATGGCTGGGTAGCGTTGTAATTTAGGTTTCACATATTGTGTTAAAAATATATCTGCTATTGCAAATGAAAACGAACGCTCGTAAAATTTGCATGAATGCTTGATAACCATAATTGTATATTTTTGTCTAATACTAAGATTGTGGACATCAGTTCTAAAACTAATTTTATTATAAAGATTCTTTGGAGAATTGATAATTTTGTGGTACAATCTTCTAGGTTTCATACAGAGACAACCAGATTAATTAATTTTGTGACTAATTCTCTGATATTTTCTTATTCCATGTATTGGTCGGAGATAGGAACTCTGCATTTTTTGTATGCGTTCCTATCTGCAATCTGACATTTGTGAACATGAACTGCAAATCACATTTTTAAAACAGATTTATATTAAAAAAAGTTATTATCAACTATTCGGCGAGAAAAATTAGTTTTGAAAAATTCTCTATTTGCCTAAGTACCAAAAATAATTTCCACGGAATTGCTGTTATTAACGTTTAAACGATGTTTTTTTCCAAAATTCGGCTATTTGCCGCAACTCATAGTTTAAATAATAGTATAAATAGAAAATATTTTAGGTTTTAGTACAGAATCCTGTGGAACTCTTTACCAAATACAAGAACTCAAAAGTTATTGTAATTTACGAGCAAATCTCCGTTTGTTTTTTTTTTGCCACGCAAATGTAGGTTGGCCTTTCAAATGTAAGTGGACCATGCAAATAAATAAATTAATCTAATTAAATAAATAATTAAAGTCAAACTTCATTGAACAGTTCCTTTTTGTTTTGCAGTTTTGTTATTAGTTTTGAAGTGTTTTTTTTGGAACTATTAGCAATTGCTCAGTTCATAATTTTATTTTTATTTAAATCTCAGATTTAATAAATTATTAGTGCTGTTATCTAAAATAATTATACTTAATTCCTCTTTCTAGATTTTTCACGTTTAGCTAATCTTTATTTTGTTCTCAATTTTTTGAGATATTTTCGTACGGTTTGAAGATTTTCGGTAAAAAATACTAACTTTAGGTATAGCGAATTATTAATACATTTGAAAAAGCATTAATAGGAGTAATTAATGGGTGTATAATATACAGGATGTTCCATTTGCTTTTTTTTTCACGAAAATGGATATTTTTTATTTTGACTCACTCTGTATAAACGATTCGAACTAACTTCAATACAAGTATAGGATAAATGACTGTACCAATTTATTAAATTGTCGGCATAATAAAATTATTAATATAAATTGAAAAATATTTGGAAAATTTTAAATTTTTTAGTTTGGCCTCATCTAAAACTTTTGTATTTAACATTTTTCTACTATTTGGACACTCTGTATAGCCTGATATACATATTGAGCTTAGTAAACGTTGACGTAACGTGGCAAAAGTAGTCGAGCAATATAAGAAATGTAATAAGTTCCTTTTATGGTTAGTAGTGCTGTGTTGAAACTATGGTGACTCTTGTAGCCACACTATTTTATTTTTCTTCAAATGCTTTTCAATTTATTGGTTGAAAAATTTTTAAAAAATCTTGGTTTTAGCCACCCGATAAAAGGGTCCAATCACAATCACGAGTCTTTGCTTTCTTAATTTGGTGGCCTTGGTGACGTGCTACCATAACAGCGTCACATTATTTTAATGCCTGATGACAATCTCACTGATAAACTTGTCTTGGGGTTGCAGGAATTCCATCGGATTCATTGAAAGAATGTGAACTGAAGAGGAACAGCATTTATTTAGAAGAGTTGCAGAAAGACTGGGAAACTAACATGCTTTTTTTCACTGTACGTTGGCATAACTAATTACTTATCTCCGACATTTTCCTAATGTGCTTTTCATATTTTAGACATTTACCATAGCGGCGTTTTGACGATTGTAGTCACAGATCGTGGTCCATGATTTCGCTGCTAGGTGACAAGGGCCTGCCCTTAAACTCCCAATAAAGCACTCGTGCCTTATCGGGAAGTTAGGGATTCAGTGTAAAGCACGCAGAACGTAAGACCCCGCGAGATATTCTCGCAGGGAAAGACGATTCAGCAGCGAATCAGGGCCCGCTGATGGCAGGAATCCGTTTATTACAAAGCAAAGCGTCGTGGATGAACTTTTTAAGTAAGTTTCCACTTCGAATGGACATTTTTTTGATCGGTAATCTTTCTCTTTTTTGTTGCAGTATCGGAACAAAAATCATCCGGGTTAATATAAATGTGTTGTGCAGTGGTGATTCAGTAGATGGGACGGATCTAAACGTGATTTTCGGTATATTGGTACAAAAACTGGCACGCTCTTTACATTTGTCTAATGAGGCTTTTTTTATTTACAGGTGGGTGGCAAAATCGGGCACGTCGGCTCGATCGGTTTAGGTCCAAATTCGAAACGCCGCAAAGCGAGGGTTGCGAGTGAAATTGTTTGGTTTCGATATAATGTTTTTATTTTTACTCTGAAAGTGTATTATTTATTTTCTCAGCTCCATTTCCTCGAAATCCACTACTAAGTACACGACTTCCTCGTTTTACGCGGTAACTTTATATTAGGTTTCACTTACACGCGCTTGCGATTTAATTTACGCGATTTTGTGCTGTGAAATAGTGTTTACTGTCATTGATTGGGAGGAACGGATTGAATTAATACCGGTTACCATCTTGGCGATGTATTGCTGATTAGTGAACTAAAAACCAAAAGAAAAAATGTAAAAGTTGCCTAAAACTGAAAGGATTTCGGATACCATTTATTCATGCAGCTTAGTAATAACATTCACAGTTTTTAAAAATCGTCGAAGAAAGAGCGATCTCGATTCGTTCAAATGATCTTGGGAATTGAATTATTAGGCATTAAGAAAAGTCTGGCAAGCGCGCCGGACTACAGAACTTTCACACAGCATTAGAACGTTCTCTGCTCACCACAAGATGGCGTTGTGGACCTATAAAAGCCATACACGGGTGTTATTGGGACGATAATTAACCATGGCATTTGAACATTTGAACCAAAGACTATAAATGGGTGCTGATTTAATATTTTTATAATATAATGTTCTGTACCGTTCTTACAAATCATCGAAGAAATATATTTTATATCTTCGAAGAGTATGGCGCATTTTTACCAAAGACGAAAAGATCTCGGAAGGGTTAAAGCGGTAAAGAATCATCTCGCATTTTCGCCTTGCTCAAATGCGTTTGGGAACGGATTGAAATAATACAATGTATGATCTCAGCGATTTATTGCTGATAAGTAAACAAAACAATAAAGTCTTGCCACCATTGTTCTACAAATCAACAGATTTAAAACAATGAGGACTGATTAAGCGGAATGCGACAATAAGAAATGAAAAATTACTGGTGAACTTGCAGTTCCGTGGTCAATGAAAAAAGTGCAATTTTGGATAACCGAGTTGCTGCTACTAGACGTACATTTAACAAAATATTTTTGGCCAGTAAAAAGTGATTCGAAAAATGTAAAAGTTGCCTAAAACTGAAAGAAGACGCACTTTCAGATAGTATTTATTTATCCTGGACAGTTTTTAAAAATTGTCGAACAAATAGATTTTAAACAGCAACAGATTATTAAAAATCTGCTTAACCACGGAATTTTGTCCCGGCCTTTCGACAAAGAATTAGAAAGTTCTCTACCACCGCAAGATGGCGTTGTGGACCTATAAAAGCCAAACCCGAATCGACAGACACTGTATCACTGGGACGATCTGGAAGCAATTATGGAAAGACTACCCAATCGCAGATCGTTTTCAGTAAAGATTGATGAACTTAAATGAACTTTTACAATTGTCTTTAAATAAGTGCTGGATAAGTTTTCACCAGAAGTTGCAAAGACACGTGAACTTATCGTTGATGTAGGAAAGTCAGGAATACCCAAGACAGGAAGACTATCGTAATGCTATCGTAAACAGCGTGTTATGGGAGCAAAAAAAAAATACAAGACGAAACAAACAGCTAATCATATAAAGAATAGCTGCATATAGTTACGAGGTATGCGAGCTAAAAGAAAGAACCATGAGAATGCTGTAGGTAACAGAGATGGATTTCCGGAGGAGGAAAATCAAGACTGAAAAAAATTTCGAATGAAAGAATTGGCGCTGCGATGAAAGTAGGACACACGCACAATCACGAGTGAAATAACAACAAAACAACTAATTACTATTAACCTACTATTACCTAATTAATTAATTAAAACTAACTAAGCATATATATATATATATATATATATATATATATATATATATATATATATATATATATATATATATATATATATATATATATATTCTCACGTATTGATTCACGGATGGAAAAATGTGATGACACTATATTCCGGGATATCATCCGTTCGCTCGTTGAACTCCGACTGGAATCCTGCATCCGACTGGAATCCTGCAAATCTTGCATCCGACTGGAATCCTGCAGACGTTTCGCCAAAATCTCACTTGGCATCTTCAATGCTCGCGCTCCGAAAACACTTCGAACACGAGCGCGAGCATTGAAGATGCCAAGTGAGATTTTGGCGAAACGTCTGCAGGATTCCAGTCGGATGCAAGATTTGCAGGATTCCAGTCGGATGCAGGATTCCAGTCGGAGTTCAACGAGCGAACGGATGATATCCCGGAATATAGTGTTATCACATTTTTCCATCCGTGAATCAATACGTGAGGATATATATATATATATATATATATATATATATATATATATATATATATATATATATATATATATATATATATATATATATATATATATATATATATATATATATATATATATATATATATATATATATATATATATATATATATATATATATATTCTCACGTATTGATTCACGGATGGAAAAATGTGATGACACTATATTCCGGGATATCATCCGTTCGCTCGTTGAACTCCGACTGGAATCCTGCAAATCCTGCATCCGACTGGAATCCTGCAGACGTTTCGCCAAAATCTCACTTGGCATCTTCAATGCTTCGAACACTCGAAGTGTTTTCGGATATATATATATATATATATATATATATATATATATATATATATATATATATATATATATATATATATATATATATATATATATATATATATATATATATATATATATATATATATATATATATATATATATATATATATATATATATATATATATATATATACATTATTAATTATACATTTTGGTTTTGGTTCAATGCAGATTGTTTTAATTTTAAAATTAATTATACGGATTAAATGATATTTATGCCTTATGCATAATAAGACAGAATTGTATTTGATATCTATGTAGTAATGTATGTAATACACTTTTTTTTGCTTAATTATAGGGCGATTTTAATTTGAAAAAAAGTAATCGCGCAAAACGAGGTCTTTCAAGAAATATTATACTTTCCGAGTATTGTTTCTAAGTTTTTATAAATGTTTATGGGTAAAATATTTCATTCGCGACCCAGACGCGCCGGGTGCGGTCCTTTCGAGGCCCGTCCTTATACCCTCGAAGGATACGGTTATTTTTTCGACTCTCCTGGAAAAATTATTATTGGCAAGGGGCAGTGGCGTCCGTTTTAATTTTTTCAAACCCCTTAACGGTTAGCTTCGCCGCCGTCAATGATCTACCCTCGTCTTAAATTATAAAGTGCCAATAGGAATTGATGAAATCGGTATCGCGTCGCGTGTTAGGGTGGCAGAGAGAGATACCAACTCGGAGGATTATTATATGATTTTCTCAATTACGTATAATTTTGGGTGGGTAATTTTTTTCCATGCGTTGGTATGTCTCGAGTCATCCTTCGAAGCTCAGGGATGTCATGTTGAACCGAGCAGATGAAACCGGAGCAAGAGGACATGGGCGAAGCCGCTACAGAGAATAGGTAATTCTTAAACCTAATATTCCTAGCGATTCTGTTTCGAATTAACGATTAATAAGTTAAAAAACCATTCCTATTTTTATTATCAACTTAACAACATTTACAGCACGGTTATCGATCAACGGTTAAAAAATATAAATCATGTACGGTTCTTAGTTAATATGTACAGGGTGTGTCAAACATAGAGGTAAGTTCATTATTTCACTGCTTTCAAAAGTTATGGGAAAATGGTAAATACAAAAGTTGTCAAGATTGTTAGTATGCACAATTGAAAATTATTTTGGTGGCTCAAAAACGAGTGAGTAACAAAAACTAACCAAAACATCATTTTTTAAATTTTGTTTCGAATTCCTTTTACATTTCTTCATCTTTTTTATTAAGAATAATACATAGCTAAACTCAATTTTCTTAAATGCCACACCATATATATATTTAGATTTTTTCTGAAAGATATTACTGTTATTAAGCATCATTATATACCAATTTTTAATACTTTGCGTCTAATACTTTTCTTTCTGTCTCAGTAGTTCAATAAACTTTATGGTAATTTGATAATTAATAATTTATATTTCTATCATTTAATGTTACAAAAATGTAGAATTTAGAAACAGAATCGGTAAGATTATTTCGCTTAACTGCTCATCTTTGTTGGAAAGTATGATGGGGCATGTCTGGTATTGTGCTGACGAAGCGAATTGGATCTGGTCTTCTGAACGTATCCCATATAAAAGTGGTCTAATTTTATGATGATTAGACCCCATAGGAATAAGTTCTCTGCGAGCTTATGCATTTCTTGCTGAATTATCAGTCCTGTGACTTAAAAGATTCACTATGAGAAGTACATGTCACAAAAATCTGTGTGCTGGCCTCAGGCATAACACGGATCTTTTCCAGCTCTGTTACGTACAATAAAATAACGATTTATCCGTGAATTCTGTAAGCCTTGACAGAATTTAAGACATAGGCTATATTATACAAGCTGTTAAAAAAAAAGATATTTTGTTATATAAACGTAAATAGGACAACGAAATAATTACGAAAGTATTACTATTATAAAAACACAGTGGAGGGGATTAAACTAAACTACTGTCATTATTCTTCTTAATTAAATTTACAGAATATCCCATGTAATGATATAAAAAATATACATATTTTTATTTTATGTTTTATTTAGAAAATATTTCGTCTCCTGAAATTCTTACAGTTTCCAAATAAAAAAATGAAATGTAAAGCATTACATGTAGAAATTTTTTTTTTTGAGAAATAAATTAGTGGAGTCTGCCAAACAGTTGTATGTTCTAAACAATTACATAAAAAAAATAATTGACTTATGATCTGAAACCAATTTATCTATTCCATATCTAATAAAAAACCAACAAACAAGCAAGACCCTAAGGCAAAAAGCGTTGGCTTGCGATATAATGTATGCATTTATGCTTCCAAGGAATTTCCGTTTGCACGCTCGTACATAAAATGTATATTCCCCATTACTGTAATCCACCATTATTGAACTAAAACTCTTATTATTATTTTACTTATTATTGTGTATTTAAACTAACTGAGCAATGTCAAAAAAAGCAATAATAAGAATTTAATATTTTTATTTTGGGAACAGGAAAGTATTATCGAAAATTTGCAAGAAATAAAGAAGTGTCTAAATAAAACATCAATCAAAAAACAATGCCATTACTTAAATTTAGTAAAAAAATATTGACAAGTGGAGTCCAATTCAAGCAATTTCAATTCAATGTATGCAGAAACTGTGTTTTAATAATTAGTAATACTAATATATATTGTGTTATCTATTTTAGTTTTGAAGATAAAAAATAAAAGCATTATTTTTCCGCCATATTTGGCATTTATGTCAAACCACCCTTTGTTTTAAATAAGGTATCACCCTCTTACGTTTTTTGCATTTCCTTTGAGAGACCCTGTATATAGAGCAACTGAAAGGTCGAATATAATGCTTAGTAATATCTGTTCGATGGTATTTACTACATGTTATCAATATTATGTACTTTTTTTCTTAGTATTTTTTGTATTCCATTTTTTTATGTATTCCTTTGTTCGGAAGTTGTATTTGGTGGATACTGCCCTTCCTTTATTTGTAAATATATTATATGGTGTCACTGTGTGATTTTAATATTATTATTATTATTAAAATAGGACAATCTAAGTCGGCGTAGGTGTTTGAAAATCGCCGAAAATGTATTTTTCTATATATAGTTTTATGCTTTTCCATTGATTTAATAGAGTAAATGACGCCTATTTCCGGAATTTCGGTTTCGATTGACTGTTCCAATTGGCTTCGTATTGACTGTATCAGATAGCCTACCGTTGAGGCAACCTGGCAATGTCCTTGTAGCCCTGCTAGTTAACTTTGTCGATTAATTATTCCTTTTCTCTTGTTACAGAGGTAGGTGTGACATAGTTTTGTAAACGTTTCCGCACAAGTGTTAATTGGTGAAGTGACGAGTAAAGAATCGCTGACGTCAAGGCAAGAGGTAAGTATCCTTTTAAATCACTCGATTATTAACCATTGATAATCAACAACAATTAATTATTTGTAGGGGTCTCTCCTGTCGCTGGTCTATATTTTCTTTTCAGGAAAAATTAATGCGTATTTTTTTTTAGATGTTTGTTTTGCCTTTTGTATTAATTAATATTTCCGGTTCAAAATGAAGCGCTGTCCCACGTCCTTCTGGAGAAAGGAATTCCGACTCGATTTACATTGATTATTGACCTAAGGGGTTGATTGCCACGAAGGAGACTCGTAAAAGGTAAGATAAATGCTTGCAAGCTCTGATTCGACATTCTCATGGCTGTTTTCCTGCGATGCTAACGAAAATAATTTTAATTTATATGATGTTCTCCACATTTTCCAGTAATGATTACAAAATTTTTGCTTTTTAACTCGAAGATTTATATGGAGCAAAATTAAGCTTGAATTGAAAAATATTAAGCTTTTCGTTTCACAGAGTGAACAAAACCTTTGATATAAAGTGATCAATAGACAATGAGCCATATATATTTTCATAAACTGGTTTTTTATTATACTGTATTTTATTAAATTCTACACAAAATTTCAACTTTTGTATGATTGTAAAATTCTTTGTATTAAAAAAGATCTTTTTTAGAATTCCTATTTAGTTTTCCACAGACAAGCCGTCTTCCTTACTGCCTAATCTATATCTTCCAACTCTTCTGAGGCTTAGCCCGTCTATTTTAGTACCCCTTCTTATGCAGTACTTTTTAGGGATTTTTTTCGTTTGAAATCCTTTATTTTTATTTATTTATATATTTTGTTTATTTATTG